ATTTATATTTATTTGCTGACATATTTATATCTTTTTAAATTCCATAAAATGTTTCTAATTGATTAAGTGATTGAATTAATTTTGCTTTGTAATGTAAAGTACTTTATCATATAAATTATCTCTCAAATATATCTTTAACACTCCCATATCTAGATATGAGAATGAGAGGCTCAACAGAAAATTTATGAAAATGTCTGGCATGCTTTGCCATATACGTCTCTGACTCTGATACCTGATTATCAGAGTATAGGCCTATTCATTTCATTTTAGATTTTGTAAAGTCCAGGTATTTTTTTACCCAACAAATTTTTAGATATTTTTAGATTTTCCAGACAATTTTTTTTTTTTTTTTACTGCATCGTGCGAATTTCGTGAAAAACAAGTGCACAAACCATTCGAACCAGTTTGCTCAAACGAATTCAAGTTGGCAGCTCAACAGGTTGGGAAAAATAAGAGAAAACAACTGTGCGGCTAATCTCGATAGAAATATAAAATCATAAAATAATATAAATAATAACGTGCAGGGACTTGCGGCGCTATCGTAAACTCAAATTTATCTTTTGCTTTTTATAATTCCATAAACAATTGAAAAAACAAAAACAACAACAAAACATTTGCCAAAGTTGTTGCCGTTGTCGTGTGTCGTTTCCCGTTTGCCGCTGCCACTCGCGCTTCGTCTGCTGAGCAGCTCGCACTTGAATTTTATCGCGTGCCGCAAATTGGCAAAGTTGTTTTCAGGCCGGAATACCCTGTAATTCGCAGCATGCCCATGAACTGTGAAATTTGTTTGTCGCGCATTTCGGCGGTCTACCACACCGGCGAACACATTACGGGCTGGATTGATCTGGTCGCCGGCAAAAAGCCTCTGCATGTGGAAGGTGAGTTCAATAAGCAAATGCCTTTAGCGTGTTGACATGCAACTGATAGCGATGCGATGATAACGATGAGATACTCCACTTGAACAGCGCTCAGTATCAGCTTGCGGTGCCGCAGCACAGTTGGCTGGCAGGAGGTGGACCGCAGCTTGCCACAGATCGTGCACAATGACAGCGAGGCGATCAGGGAGCCCGACTACATTAACTACACAGGCGACAAATTGTACTTGGACCAGACGCAGCAGCTGCTGCAGGGCATCTGCCTGCTTCCGCGTGGCATTAAGCGCTGCATCTTCGACTTCCAGCTGCCAAGCGAGCTGCCCGGCATGTGCCGCCTGCCCCTGGGTCGCACCAGTTACACGCTGCAAGTGCGCTTGCAACGCTACAACAAGCACGACAAGATCTTCCAGAAGAGTGTGTGTGTGAAGCAGCGCATTGAGCTGCGCGACTTGAGGCCGGCTACCAGCTCAAGTGTGAGCTTGAGGCTGCACTTGTCGCGCAGCAGCTACGTGCCCGGCCAGCGCATTGCCTTCGAGGTGCAACCCACAGAGCCTGCCACATGCCGCACCTGCCTCTGCCAGGTGATTACCTATCGCAGCGAACAGCCCGCTGTTAAGGAGAAGCGCGTGCAGCGCGTGCTCGACGAGAGCTCCGACTGGGCTGGCGACCTCCATCTGCCGCTCTGCACGCCCCTTATGACGCAGCTGCAAGGCGAGCCCATTGAGATCTCCTACTTTGTGGAGGCAGGCAGCAACCTCTGCAGGCAGCCATTGCGCTTGCCTCTGTGGGTGGGCACTGTGGCGCCACCTATTGACGCCCTAGCGGACAATCGAACGGACGCTCGAACGGGCGCTCGAACGGGCGCTCGAACGGGCGCTCGAACGGACGCTCGAACGGACAGTCCGGCGCTCGGATACGACAATTTGGGTAAGTGTTTGCCAAAAACAGACGCAGATCCTAACGATGTTTACACAACTGCTATGCTCTGCCTCAGAGTCTTAGCTTTGATACCCTGAAACCATTGAAAATGCTAATTGAGGGTATAATAGCTACGGGAAAATTTTGTAAGAGTAGGTGTAGCAGACGCCATAAAAAATACATACATATTCTTACCCTGTCTGTCAGTCCGCCTGCTCGTCTGTCCATCCGTCGGTGCATATTCGTGTATGCCCTACTAAACAGGATTTTAGAATTTTGCTTCCCTATAACTGCTCTCATTTATTAATAATCGATAAAAATCGAGTATAGTAGTACTTCACATACAAACATAAATATTTTAAATAACTATAGCGAACAATGCACACATCTGGATATTATTATGCCCAGAAAATTTCATTACAAAGTGCATATTGAACAGAAGTTTATAAACAATTAATTTCCCATATGCACAACCCGCGTAGAATGCGCACGATATATTATTATATACATACATATATGGATGTGTATGTGAATGTGGGCGCATGCTGTTTGTATAATATACATATATACAGATATCAATATCAGCACATTGCAATGTTTAGGGTATTTCCTAGTCGGGCAGCACCGACTTGAAGACTTCAACTCATTTTAACATGAAGTGAAAAGCTAAGAGGAGGCATTTTATATATTTATCATCCATTTTAGTCTTCTCCCTCTTTACTTTTTTAAATGTATTTACTTAATTAGATTAAACATCAATCAATCATAGCCGCATACATATAAAAGTACTCAGATTCTAATTCTTAAAGTCGTCAAAAATTTCATATATACGCTATATACATAGTTAGTAAAAAATTTACAATTATTAATTTTTGAATCAATTAATTTAACTATATAATTTCTTTACCTTTACTTATGTACTATTCATTTATTATTAATTTCTTTTACTCATTCTATTAGTAGATAATTTTTTACATTTATCTAAATTTAGATATTTTTCATTATTTTAAATTATATAATATTCATTTAACTATGATGATGATAGCCTATTCAACATTCATTTAACAACTATGTATCATATTATTTTTAAGAGCACTCACTCTTCGACAATGATATATTTATGGATTTTCTGTTTTCAATCTATTTTCCAGCTTTGAATGAAAACGATTCACTTGGTGCAGCGATCTGTGAGCGGCCGCGCCACAGTTTTAACATTAGATCCCGGCGATCCAAAGCGAAAGGCCAGGGCGACCAACTGCGAAAGCTGCGGCGCCCGAAGAAACCGTCGTACGTGCTTTTAGCTTGGCGCTACTTTTCTGATATTCTGTTTCCCCGCAATTAACGACATGGTTGTGAGCTCAAAGTATAAAACTAATTGAAATAGGTACGTGCAGGCTTTTAAATAAATCTGGGTGAAATGAAATTGAATTGTGAGAATATATTAATATTTTTGCCGATAATATGTGTATGTATGTATACTATCTAGCCGGGGCGGGCATTTAGTTATATATCGCTTAAATGTGGGGTAAATTTATAGAAGAGCTGCATATTTGCACAGAAGTTATCAACGCTGGATTTATCAACGCCTGCGTCAGCAAATCCAATTTCATTGATTAAATTTCATTGACAGTCCAGTTCGTATATATGTATAAAGCAACCTATAGAATCTCAGCTATATAAACAACTTGGACTAAAACGTGAGCAAATCATTAAATATATTATTTTTTTTACCTATTTTAAAGATTGGATTTAATTATATTTATTTAGAATGAATTAGATATTAATAATCGTAATTATTATAAATTAACGCTAATAAAAATAAATATACCTGAAAATATGATAATAATAATTTTTTGAGAGATAGTAATTTATTATAATTTTTTTGTTTTCACTTTTGCTGCCGATGTAGGTAAACATATTTTTAAGTTTTCGCTCTGATCGGACGGCATTTGCTGTCTGCCACTTCGGCTGCCTTCCGCCTTCTATGTCCTCTGAGTACTGATCAGTGCTCCTACGACCTCCGTGGACTACCCTCCAAATATCATTGCTTTTGCTCTTTTGCTTAATTCTATTCATTGTCCGTTCCTAAGATCGACCCTTATTCGTGTTAATTTACAGAATTTAAAGTCTATCTGCATATCTCAAACGGGAGTAGACGATCTTCTGGCCATGTCCATGAAAATGCTTCTCCGGGCAAACAAACATATCGGTTCACGGTGTGTGAGCCAAGCTTCCAAAGATATTTCCCGACAGATATTTATACTCTTTACGAGCTGTCTGTCCGCTCATTTATTTGCATCCTCCTAGATTTATCCATGCGTTTCAGCATTGTTGTAGCAACATGTAGATCCATTAGCTTTTCTATATCTGTCAATCTACTTAAAACATCTAGGCTGAAACTCTTCTGCGTCGTTACAGCAGCTCTTATACGCCTCAACGCCTATCGATAATTCGTTAAGGCTCTACAATGCTGCAAATTTATTCAATTTTTATCCTAGTTCGTTGTCAGTCGAATAGCTCATGGTAAATATATATTATTCTTCTATAATATCACAAAATACTTTGCTGTATATTTGGGTTCCTAGTCGCAATTCAGTTGGGTAATAGGATTAAAGACAATTGTTGCTATTGGAAGTTAACGGATAGGCAAAATCAACCATTCTACCAATTATCACTAGATAAAGATAATAATTAACACAGCGTAAATGAGAATGATAGTAGTTAGAGTAATACGAATAATCATAATCATTTGGCGACATTAATAATGAGATCAATAATGAGAATGATAGTAGTTATATGTAGTAATAATAATATTATTGAGACGACGGTAATAATGATGGCGATATGACGATAACGAGAATGAAGGAGACAAAAATAAAGACAAAATGAATAATGAGAAATATTGTATTGTATTAATAATGACTATAATTTTGTTGACGAAAGCATAATATTAAAAAAATAAAATAAAATAAAATCATATAGATAGACTATAATTTGAATCATACAGGTATAATATTTAAAAAATATATAAAAATAAAATAAAATAAATTTGTATTAAGGACAATGACTCTGATCAGGTATAATATTTAAAATAATAATTCAAATAGAACTTATATTTTAAGTAATGAGTTTTTAGTTTTATAGAGCAATAATTGATTTGCCATTGATTTTTATGAGTCCATAAATATGCCACAGGGCCATTCCATTCCCGTTCGCAGCCCTTGTCGCTGGGCCCTAATCAAATACGCGAAGCCATATTGTTGGAACGGGTCAAGGCGAGCCGCCCATTGCCGCAATTATCTACAGTAAATTGAGTAAAGCATCGGAGGCTATCAGAGAGGAGCTGCGCCAGTGCTCGCCGAGGCTGTAAACTCTTGTTGCCACATTTTGTGGCAGCAATGTTGGCTAGCCAAATGGCGTGAAGCTCATTTGAATCAGGCCTTCGCATATTGCCGCCAAAATGCGTGCAGGCCGAGAGTTGAGAATTGAGGAATATGAGAAACTGACCTCGTCATGGAGGCGCAGTTGATGTCGCCTTATTTTTGTTTTTCTGTTTTTGTGTTTACTTTTTGGTTTTATCTTTTTTTTTTTTTTTTTTTTTTTTTTTTTTGGGCGCCGCTTAAACAAAGAAACTGAAAGGGACGCAAGCAACAAAGCGTTGCTGCGTTTGGTAACGTTTTTTCTTGCTTTGACCAGAAGCAGACAGTAGACGGTTACACAGACGCATGGCGCCAACTTATTGATTCGCGCCCCCATTCCAACTTTCCCTTTGGCACAAGCCGAAAGGATGCTGCGAGCGAACGAGAGGGCAACACAGGACGCACAACAAAGGCGCAGGGCTCAGTGCGCGTCTGGCTGTGCGAAAGTTCGGTTGAGTTTTCATTATCCTTGTCGTGCGTTGTGTCTGTTCCTTGTTCCGTGTAATGTGTGCAGTGCATTCGGGCCTTTGTTAGCCATGCCCACCACTTGTGTTTTTCAGCTGGATCGCCTGAATCCCGTCTACAACAGCGGCGAATACATCAGCGGACGCATTCTGCTACGCACGGACAAGGTGAAGCGCGTGAATGGTGCGTCGCCGTCGCCATCGCCAATCTCCGAAACAAACTCTCAATTTCGCTCCTTGCAGCTGTCTACGTTACCCTCGAGGGCGAGGCCAAGGTGCAGTGGTCCATGAGCGGCAAAAGTGAGACATCCAACTATTCGGGCCACCAGCAGTATCTGCACACACGCACCAACGTCTTCGACAACTCGCTGTTCCGGGCCGGAGTGCATGTCTATGTGCTCACATTGCGCATACCACCCGATTGCCCGAGCAGCTGCAAGGGCCCCTATGGCTACATAGCCTACAATATATCGCTGACCATCGACAAGCCCTGGGGCTTCGACGAGGTCTTCCGCAAGCCCATCATGGTGGTCCAAACATTGGATCTCAACTATAACTCGGAGTTTGCGGTACGTCTTTTCAATTCGCTTTGAATCTGTAGCCAAGTGACGTGGCCCGAGAAAAATGTATGAACTTAATTTGTGCTCGAATGTGTCTCATAAGTGTGCGTAGGCGTTTACTGTGGTAATTCATACGAGATGAAGAAATTTGTATGTAAATTGTATGCAGAGCGAGAATATTCTAAAGAGTCGCAGCAATAGGCCATTTAGTGATAGAGGGATAATTTCTTATGAACAATTAGCTAGAAATAGAGGAGTGATAAAAAGTCGTGGATACTGTTGATATTTATGACGTAAAAAATTCCTCAATAATATAAGTCAATTGTTGTATTGTTTAATATAGAATTTGGATTCAAATCTAAATCAAAAACTTGATAACAGATATTTTTAGATATGTCCAAAAAAAATACCTACATCTAATACTTAATTTTATTATTTGGTGTCGAATTTTTAGATATGTATCTAAAGTTATACCTTATTTAACAAAAAATCGGACATGATTTAATTGAATTCGAACTTAAGATAATCTTAAAAACTTCAATTTCAAGTTAAATTAGCTCAAGTATTTGGCGTTGCTTGATTTGAAAATCTTCATCTGTTGTGCTGCTATCCTTATAATATTTCTTTCTTTCTTTGTTAATTCTCTTTGTTATTGTTTAGCCATTTAATGTTCTATGAAAAATTAATTTATGGAGTTGTAAATTAGTATTCAATTTAAGCAATTAGCACTGTTGACAACAGCAGTTGGATTTGCAGCTGTAAAATGGGGAGTTTCACTCTCCCTATGATCACTCTCCAATGCTCAGAGTCTCATTTGGCTAGCTGTGAAAAAAAACTAGAGCTGATGGAAGATAAAAACGAAATTGCGAGCAATCACTTGTATTGATGTATCCAAATTGCTTTATATTAAGTCTTGAGCTTAATCTGAATTGAACCTTTTCCATTGGACAGTTATCAAAGTTATATTTATTATATTATTTATAAAATGTATTTTTCTGATTTTAGCTAAGCTATGGGGATGCGAATAGTTTAGCTTATTAAAAATATTTCCAATATTTGATAAGGTTGCTGTGTGAGTGGGTGTCTAATTTTATATTTTTTTTT